TTTCCAATCTCAAATAATAGAAATAATGAAAGAAAATGAAAATAATACAGAATGGGAGGATTGGAGAAAAATAAAGGAAAGAATAAATGAACAAGTAAAAATGACATGGTATAAATTGAAAAAAAGAAAATTTGATAAAATAAAATTATTGCAAAGAGAATTGACTAGGCAAATAATAGCAAATAATAATGATGAAATTGAAAGGGTGGAGAATGAAATAAGTAGAGAAATTAATAAAAGAAATGAGGAAAATTATACTAGATATAAAATGAAAAAATATAATATAAAGAGAAATGTAGAAAAAGTAATATTTGAGAAAGGAAAAGGCTGTAAAGAAAAATTAGAAATAAATAGAATTATAAGTGATAATAAGGAGATAACTAATACTGATGATATAATAGAAGAATTTGTTAAATTTTATACTTACTTGTTTAAAGACCCAGAAACAGATTTTAGATACTGGGATAATATATGGTCATATGTTAAACCTATAAAAGATAAAGATAAAAATGTATTAAATAAAATGATATCGAGAGAAGAAATAAGGGATGCTATCCAGGGGCTCCATAACCGTAAGGCTCCTGGACAAGATGAAATACCAGGAGAATTTTATAAATTTTTTAGCGAATTATACACAGATTATTTTTATAATCTTTTTAACACCCCTTTTGGTGAGGATTTTAGCTATGGTAAAATGATTTTAATAAATAAAGGAGACAGTGCGGATAGGGGGGTGAGTGATTTTCGCCCTATTACTTTACTTAATCTGGATTACAAGGTTTATAGTACAATTATAGCGAGGAGGCTTGAGGATGTTTTTAAAGATAATTTGGTGAACACTCAGAGTGCTGGGACGAAAGGTCGGAATATACAAAATAATATAATGATGATAAATGTATTACAAGAAATTTATAAGGAAAGAAAATCCCCACTCTCTGTCCTTTCAGTTGATGTGAGAAAAGCTTTCGATACCGTGAATCGTGACGTGCTCTGGGAGATATTAGGGAAATTTGGTTTAAATTATGAGGAAATAAGTCAAATAAAAAGACTTTATAATACTCCAAGTACTTTTATTTATTTAAATAATGAGGTGTCACGTGATATAGACTGTAGAGCAGGGGTCAGGCAAGGCTGCCCCTGCTCTATGATATTGTTTTCTATATATATTGATGTCTTATTGAAGTGTATTGTGAATGATGACTTGATAGAATCTGTTTATATTCCAGGAATGGAAATGAAATTAAAAATGATAGCGCATGCAGATGATGTAAATTTTATAGTTACGGATCATATAAGTTTAAGAAGAATCTATGATAAGATAAATGAATTTAGTAGATTAACAGGCATGCAGATAAATAGAACTAAAAGTAAAATAATAGATTTAGTAGGAAATATAAACAGTGAACTTCCGATAGAAAAAGTTGATAGATTAAAAGTGCTTGGAGTATGGATAGGAAAAGATAGTAAAAAATATAATGTAAATGATATGAAAGAGAAGATTAAGAATATTTTAGAAAAATGGAAAGAGATTTGGTTGTATCTCCCAGAGCGCGTCATGATAGTAAATAAAATAGCTATAGCTAGTATAATGTACACTCTTTATATAACAGATTTAGATAAAAGTGACATAAAACAATTAGAGAAATTATTATATAATTATATTTGGATGAATAGTTTTGAGCCTCTGAGCCGAAAAATGATGAGAAATAATAGAAACTGGGGGGGATGGAGAGTGTGGGATTTGAAGGACCTTGAGTGTTCACTACAGATTGGTCATATGATTAACACTCTAAAGTATAAGAATCACCCATTTTATTATGTTTTGCAATATGTTATGGGACCGATATCAAGAAAAGTCACTCGGGAGGTTAGACAATTTCCATTCCTAATGAGTAATAAGAAAAAATTTAAAAAATGGAGGGGAATTTTTAGAGACTTTTGTGATAAAAATGAGAATTTAATACATAGTAGTAATAAAATAAGACCGATTTTTGTTTATAACGAAATCCATAAACAACAGATAAATCTTAATATGATTAATTCCCCATATGATTGGAATCAAACATGGAAATATGTAATAGACTTACCTCCCGAGTGGTGTGAACTCACCTGGAGAATTTTAAATAATATTGTAATGTGTAAAGATTATTTGTACACGTACCACCGCGTCCGTGATTTCCGGTGCTCCAGATGCGGCCTGAGAGAAACAATTGAGCATATTTTTATTGAGTGTCCGGTGTCAAAAAAGGTATGGTTTTGGTTTAATAAACTCTGGAAGTTTAATATAACGTGGACTAATATAAAGTATTTTTTGGAGTTCCAGTTAAGAAATCGAAACAGATACATGCTGGTTTGGATGATTGCCCTTACAAAAAGATTGATATGGAAGGCCCGATGTGTATTGTTTTTTGAGAGAAAGAAATGGAATGTGACTTTAATAGTAACGAAAATTAAAGAAGAAGCCATGTTTAAAATTAAAAGTGACAAAAATACGATGAGTGAACAAGAATTTAACAAGCATTACGAAGGGACTGATGTGATATGGAAGGACAATAATGGCAAAATTGAGTTTTGTGATGATTAAATGAATTTTTATTGTAAATAAGTTATATTATTTATTTATATGTTAATTTAATTTTTTGCCTTTTTGGCTTTTTGTTGCCCTTTGGCTTTTTATGGTTCTAATTATATTTATAATTGTTGCCTGTTTGGCCTTGTTCATGTTCTGTTCTCTGTTGCCTGTTGGCTATGTTTATATATTGAATTGTTTGTTCTTGTTGATATTTTTAAATTATTTGTATTGAATGTTGCCTATTGGCTAATGTGTTTTTCTGTAACACTATTTTAATTGTCGGGAAGCGATTTTGTATTTATTTTGTGTTCATTTTTGATGAAATGTTTTGATGTTAAATTTATTAATTTATTTTTTTTGTCGGGTACGTTTGATGTAATTAACAGATTGTTCTTTTTTGTTGTTGTATGATGCTTTATCGAAGTTGTAGAATTTCATTACGAAAATAAACAAGCACGATGGCGATTTCGACCAAACGCGAGGGGGGATAAAAGACTTACCTTTTCTTCATGTTATTATAAAGTAATCGCTTCTTTGAATGAAAACCAACTGTATTTGATTAGGATATTAGCCCTATTATCTACAAACTTTGATTCATAGTATCTGTTCTTATCAGCTTGATATCTGATACGGTCTCCATCGGAGACCTTCGATATTAACCTGATTTTTGGAACGGGGCGGGAAAGGGGGCTTGCTCCCTCCCCGNAATGGAGGGGAATTTTTAGAGACTTTTGTGATAAAAATGAGAATTTAATACATAGTAGTAATAAAATAAGACCGATTTTTGTTTATAACGAAATTCATAAACAACAGATAAATATTAATATGATTAATTCCCCATACGATTGGAATCGGACATGGAAATATGTAATCGATTTACCTCCTGAGTGGTGTGAACTCACCTGGAGAATTTTAAATAATATTGTAATGTGTAAAGATTATCTGTATACGTACCACCGTGTCCGTGATTCCCAGTGCTCCAAATGCGGCCTGAGAGAAACAATTGAGCACATCTTTATAGAGTGTCCGGTGTCAAAACAGGTATGGTCCTGGTTCAATAAGCTCTGGAAGTTTAACATAACGTGGATTAATGTAAAATATTTTTTGGAGTTTCAGTTAAGAAATCGAAATAGGTACATGCTAGTCTGGATGATAGCCCTTACAAAGAGAATGATATGGAATGCCCGGTGTGTATTGCTTTTCGAAAGAAGAAGGTGGAATGCGACTTTAATAGTAAGAAAAATTAAAGAAGAGGCCAAGTTTAAAATTAAAAGTGATAAAAATAGTATGAGTGAACAAGAATTTAAAAAGTACTATGAAGGAATTAATGTAATATGGAAGGATAATAATGGCAAAATTGAGTTTTGTGAAAATTAAATGTTTTTATTGTAAATAAGTTATTTTGTTTAATTATATGTTAATTTGATTTTTTGCCTTTTGGCTTTTTGTTGCCCTTTGGCTTTTTATAGTTCTAATTATATTTATAATTGTTGCCTTTTTGGCCTTGTTCATATTCTGTTTTCTGGTTGCCTTTTGGCTATGTTTATTTATTAAGTTGTTTATTCTTGTTGATACCTTTTAATTATTTAATTGAATGTTGCCTTTTGGCTAATCAATGTGTAAATTGAAATACTATAAAAATTATATTTATTTTTTGTAATACTATTCTAAAGACTGTCGGGAAGCGATTCTGTAAAAAAATACTTTTATGTCGGGAAGTGATGTTTCTGTAAAAGAAAATTTATTTATTTTAATTCATGAAATGTTTAAATAATTGATGTTAAATTTAATACTTTATTTTTGTCGGGTTTGTTTGCTGTAACTAACATATTGTTCTTTTTTGTGTTGTATGATACTTTTTCAAAGTTGTAGAAAAATTTACTATGTAAAATTATGGAAATAAATAAGCATGATGGCGATTTCGACCAAACGCGAGGGGGGATAAAGACTTACCTTTTCTTCATGATATTCTAAAGCTAATCGCTCCTCAGAAGGAAATCCAACTGTGTTAGGTGCCCGCTTTTTTAACTACAAACTTTGATTTATTAGTATCTGTTCTTATCAGCTTGATGAATCTTCGCTAAAATAGCTCCAGACCTGGATTTCGAGCCCGATCCTACTCCCCAGTCCTCTGGGTAAGTATACTCTTTGATTTTGGTTCTCTTTCCTTTACTCTTCTCTCTTCCGCCGGAAGAGCGGCCTGCATGGTTTAAACGCACCGTGTATTCGCTGCTCAACCGGCAACACTTTCGCCTATCGCCGCCAGCCCAGCCTGGTTGCCTTCTTGGTGTTCCGTCTGGACACCCCGTGGTGCTCGCTCGAGTGACCCGTGGTGCTTCGCTCAGGACACCTTCTTTCTTCCTCTCCCTGCCCCTCCTTGATTGGCTGCCCAGCACCCCAGGGGGCACTTCTGGACTTCTCTTCTTATCTTTCATTACTGCACATTTGGTCACCATGCCAACGATCACAGTCCTAGTCCCGCTGCAACCTCCTCATGGTTGCGAGCTCTGTTTGCCCATACCAAGGGACTACATTGATCATGCAGGCCTCGTCCGACATCTGAAGAGGGAGCATGGCACCTCCTTGCACTTCGAGTGCCGCGCATGCGGCCTCATCTCTGAGAAGCTCAAGGCTCTTAAGGCCTATCAACGCCGTGTTGAAGCCTGTCGGGCTAGCATTGAAGCCGGCTCCCCTCCGCATCCACCTCCCGCCGATCGCCGTAGAAGGAATATACCTCTTAGGCCCCGAAGGACCTACAACAAGGCGCAACCTCAGCAAAACAACATCTCTCCTTCCTCGGCTAGCGACCAGTCTTCACACTCTGTTGCCATGTCCTCTCCGTCCTCCAGTGCCAACACCTCACGACGTAGAAGAATCACACGGCCCGTCCAGAGTATCATCGACAACACCCAGATGTCTCCTGTCCCGCAGCAGACCTCACCAGTCACGGCACCTACCTCCCCCAGTACTTGGAGGGCGGGAAACCTGTCCTACAGCCAGGTCGTCAGTCAACCACCGCCGAACCACCGCCGAACCACCCCCATCTCAGCCCAAGGCACAACAGGACTCTACCCAGGACAACGCTCGTAGCCCGCCGTGTACTCGCACTTCTACCGAGGCCTGCAACCGCCACCTCGATAGGACCCCCCTGGCCTCTCCTTCTACCAGTCCATCTTCGCCTCACCCCACTGCAACAAGGCCCAGGAGACGCCGACAGGTGCCTCGCCAAGTCAGCAGCCGCACCCCCAGTCCTGCCAACACTTCACGCCAGCCTGACCCAGGGCCCGTGTCTGTCTCCACCACCCACCAGGACCCCGGCAGCCATGCAGCACCTCGCAGAATCCCGTCAGCAAAACCACCTCACCACCTTCCTCCGCCGGAACCTCTTCCATTCCCAGCTGGGTCGCAAACTGGAAGCATCGGTTCGACATGGCCATCGATGGAGATATGCTTGAGGTAATGGTAAATGATCTTGTTGCTTTAGCCCAAGACATCTGCGCTGTAGCCGACACTGCTATCCAGCCCAACGTGCCATCCACACCACAACACCCCATCGCTGCAGACGCAAGACGGATTCAAAGACTTTACAAGGTCAACAAAAAGAAGGCCGTCAGCTTCATCATGGAAGGACGACCCAATTACTGCAACATTGACCGTCAGGACCTGCAGACTCACTTCAAGCAAATATATGCCTACAACCAGCAACACCACCCATCAGCCCCTCCAGTTGCACCACCTGACCCCATTCCTGATCTTAATAATCCATTAGCCGAACCTTTCACTCCTGCAGAGGTAAGTTTCCGCCTAAGGCGTTGCCACAACACGGCCCCAGGCCCTGATGGCTTCCACTATCACCACTGGGCCCGGGTCGATCCGCAAGGGATCAAACTCTCCAGTGTGTTCAACGCCGTGCTATGCACCTCCTACATTCCACCATGCTGGCAGTGCTCTAACACCATCTTGATGCACAAAAAGGGCAATGTCAACAACATCGGCAACTGGCACCCCATTGCCCTTTCCAACACCCTCGGAAAGGTCTTTGCTGCCTGCCTCGCCAACAGGCTGCTGAACTGGTGCAAGAACCATGACATTCTCTCTTGTGCCCAAAAGGGGTTTCTTCAGCACGAGGGCTGCCTCGACCACAACTTCCTTTTACAAACCACCATACAAGACGCCAGGAGGAAGCGTAAGTCGTGTCACATCGCGTGGTTGGACATCCGCAACGCCTTCAGGTCTGTGCCCCAAGGCACAATCATCCAATGCCTCCAGTGGTGTAATCTACATGAAGACAGTGTGGACATTGTGAACAATCTTCTTCAGAACTGCACCACGAGGATTCGCGCCAACGATGGATACACCGAAGAGATTCCCATCTACTCCGGAGTCAAGCAGGGGTGCCCCCTAAGCCCTCTGCTCTTTAACATCGTGGTGGAAACAGCAGTCAAGAGCGTCCATGCCCTCCAGCTCGGCTACACACTTGAGGGAGAGCACATCGACATATTAGCCTATGCCGATGACCTCGTACTCGTCAGCTCTACACCTGAGGGACTGCAACGTCAACTGAACTGCATCTCTCGCTGGGCAGATTGGGCAGGCCTGGAGTTCAACCCAGGTAAGTGTGCAACTCTATCCATTTTAGGGAAGCAGCACAACACCGGCGACAACACGTTCAAAGTCCAGAATGCCGACATCCCGCTACTGCACGCAACGGACTCCTACTCCTATCTGGGCATCTCCACGGGGTTCTCCACCCGCCACCCCGATAACAGCGTGGTTTCTAACCTGGAGAAGAGCGTCCAGAAGATCGATGAATCTAAGCTCGCTCCGTGGCAGAAGATCGACGCGATTAACACGATGCTTCTGCCCAAGCTCACATACCATCTACTGCTAGGCTCCAACTCCAAGGGACGCCTTCGCACTCTTGACCGCTTCATCAAAAAATGCACGAAGAAGTGGCTATACTTGCCCCAACAGGCCAGCCCCGAAGTGGTGCATCTTCCTCACGACCACGGGGGGACCAACATTACCCCCTGTGGCACTCTGGCTGACATCTGCCAGATAACACACGACGCACATCTATTTACATCAAGGGACGAACGGGTAAGTGCCATAGCATTAAACTCTCTTCGCAGTGTCACCCGCAAACGTATTCGTCGGGACCCCACACTGCAGGACCTCTGCACCTACCTCAACGGATCCACAGAAGGCAAATTTGGAGTCGACCCAGCCGACTACACATCCACATGGACACGTCTTCGTATGGCTACCCGCAGGCTCCGGAGATCCATTGACATTGCCTGGGCCGTCATCGATGACTCCATCACCATCACCACTACCGGCAACCCAGTTCCGAGACATGTCACAACCAAACTCCTTACGTCAATGACCAAGAATGCACTCCTGAACCGCCTTCTGCAGAAACCGGACCAGGGCAAGGCGATTAAACTCACCGCCCTGCATCCGGCCAGCAATCACTACCTTAAAGATGGCCGCTACACCTCCTTCGCCGACTGGAGGTTCATACATAGGGCCCGTCTTAGTGTGGTCCCTTTGCGTGGTTTCTGTCGCTTCGGACAGTTCTCCACCAGATGCCGCCGCTGTGGTTTCGAGAAAGAGACTTGGCCCATGTGTTAAACCACTGCGGCAGGAATCTGCACATCGCCACTGAACGCCACAACGCCATTCTGAATCGACTTCGCCGAGCAATTAACGATGAGGACTTAACCATCCGGTGCAATCAATGCGTCCAGGGATACGAGGGCAACTGCAGACCGGACCTTGTGGCCATAAGTGAAGCAACAAAGACTGCCACCATAGTGGATGTTGTCATCCCGTTCGAAAACGGTCATGACGCGTTCACAAACGCCAGGACCAAGAAGGTAGAAAAATACTCATCCCTCACCCAACATTTCCGCTCCAAAGGCTACGACACCTTCTGCGACGCCTTTGTCATCGGCTCACTGGGTGCTTACGACCCCAGTAACATCGCAGTCCTGCAGCGCCTAGGGATTGGCCGTAAGTACTCTAAGACTATGATCAAGTTAATGGTCAGTGATAGTATTCGCTGGAGTCGCGAAATCTACATACATCACTTGGCCCATGGACACTCATCATACCAACACAGCCAACCGCCAACTAGGATCAACGTTCAACAGCAGTCACAGAGGTCTACATCACCTCTGAACACTCAGCGACCAGACTCCAACTAATCTCTGGCTACATGCCACCGTACTTCCTATGTATATATCTAACACACCGTTGTACATAACTTCTTTGGCAGGCTATGCGCCCATGTCGTCGGATTACTTTACCTTTTTTGTCATCACCAACAAGCTGGCTATGAGCCCATGTCGCGGCTTACACCTTTGTACTTATCTTTTCCTTTTATCACACCCCACACTTTGTATATATTTTAAGGAATTTAATAAAATCGTTTAAATCTGTTCTTATCTTGATGGGAACGGACGCGCGGTGGTGAGCTCCGTGTATCAGTGCATTTTACTGCAGATATAGTGATCTTTGGTTAAAGTGTTATATATCTTTGGAATTGTGACAGTCTAAGGATTACAGTGGTGTCATATTTTTGAGTGAGGGACCGTAACTTTTTTAGTTACGGTCGCTAGAAGATACCGGCGACCGAAGACCGGCCAGCCGGAAATCGGTGGTTCATCCACAAGATTTGGAACAACAAAGTGACAAAGGGACATAACGTGAGTAAGAAATGACTTTTTTGGGGACAATAGGCCAATTTAGACAAGAGATATTCGGACTCTAAAGTTTGAGGCAAGGCGGGCTTTGAGTGGAAGCATCGGGCCTGTCACGTAATATCTCAGAAAATCTTTTAATTCATCTGAAAAAGAACGAGTTCAGTAAAATAATATAAAAAATTCATCAAAAAATCTCCAACCGGAAAAAAGTTACAGCGAATTTAAATTTTGGACAATCTACCGCCATTAACCTCAACGGAATTTTTGGTGCCGGTTCCCTAGGCAACGGACGCGTTGCCGTGGTTACTAAACCAACATTTCCCGCTAGCGCGAAAACGAAGGTCAACTTTCCTGCTTCCATTATGTCATCGGCTGCCATTAGCAACGGTGTTCCAACAATGGATGCAACTACAGAACAGGAGCCAACGACTAGTTCGCGGGCTACTGGGCACATCGAGTTGAAGGATGCAGAAAAGCATCTCATTGGAAATGAAATAGAAGATCATTTACAGAACGAGGAAGAATTAAATGCAGAAATACAGGAGGAAACGACAGAAAAAGAAGACGAAGAACAAAGTTTAACTGAAGAAATTTCGGACAAACTTAAGAAATACACTTCCATAAGATCGGTAAGATTCACCTATGAAGAAAGACTGGACACTGTTAACTTAATAAAAGCAATCGAAGACAAATTAAACGAAGAAGGAAGCGTATATCAAGTAAGTTATCAACCCAAGAAAATAGTAGAAATAGCATTAAAAACAGTTAAACAAAAAGAAGCATTGGTAGGGCAACAATTACAGGTAGGAGACTGTGTATACAATTTAGAAAGTTTAGAATCAGAATTAGTAGCTATTACAGTTAGACATGTCCCAGGAGAGATAGATGAAGAAATGTTAAAACAAATTTTTAATAAATTTGGAAAAGTGTTAAACGTATATCCAAACTACCATCCAAACACAAAAGTTAGGAACGGCATATATCGCATTCCAATAGTAACACGAAAGAGAATTCCAAGTTTCATAGATGCATATGGTAGGAGGCTGCAGATTTATTATCCAGGAGTGAGGAAAGAATGCCTAAGATGCGGCGATTTAGAACATGAAATACGTGAATGTCCTATTAAGTTATGCTTTAGATGCAAAAGCAAACTGCATTTAATCAAAGATTGTCCCGCATGTTACAATTGTGGAATTATTCATGAAAAAGGGGACAAATGTCCCAAGATATCATACTCTGAAATATTAAGAAGAGGGCCAAGAAAACAAAGCTTAGAAAGAAAGAGAGAAAGAAATATAGACAAATTAGTTAAAAACAAAAATGAAATACCAAAAACAGTAGTAAATAAAACACAGGAACAGAAAGAAAAAATACCAAATAAAGAAACAGAAACAAATGATAGCTTAAAAATAAACCAAGGGAGTAATACAATAGAACCAGTAGAGAAAAAAGAAGAGGTAGAATAAGAGAAAAAGAGGTAGTAAAACCTAAGATAAGTGTAAACACAAACAGTCAAGAAAACACCCCAGAAAGAAAAGGGAAAAGGAAAGTAAGTAGAGAACGCCAAGCAAAAGAAAAAATTGCCAAAAAATCTTCCATATGGAATGAAATCGAGCAAAGAACAGACTTATCTGAAAATCAAAAAACCACAGAGTTAAACAGATTATTATGGAAAATAGCTGAAGAAAAAGGGGTAAGAAGAACAATGTCGGTTTCAGATCTATATAGACTCTCGAAGACAACACACTCTAGCACAGAAAATGGATAGAAACAGAATCATAAATATGAGAAGTTATAACATTACAGGCTTCAGGGATAAAAGAAAGCAGTATAGTTTATTAAATTTAACATATATAGGAAAAGTAGACATAGTAATGTTACAAGATACAAATATATATAACTTCGAAGACCTAAGAGCGTTGAGAAAAGTGCTTAATAGTTATAATATATATGCATCTTTTGCAACTAGAAGAAGCACAGGTGTTATAACTCTGATACATAAAAACATTAAAATACAAGACTTCCAAACTGACAGTCAGGGAAGGGTCCTGGCAGTTGACGTACAAGTTGGTAATAGACCGATAAAAATAATAAACATTTATGCACCGACAAATGCAGCACAAAGGAAAGAGTTTTTTAATAAATTGCCAAACTTCTTACGAGGGGGCCGAGATTTAATTGTAGCAGGAGATTTTAATTGTATATTACAAGAGATAGACAAAAACAAGCCTCTACACCCCGATAGTTCACGACAAATCCTACAAAAGATAACAGAGGATTACAACCTAACAGATATTTTTAGAAAAGCCTTCCCAAACAGTCTATGTTTATTCTTTATAATACAAATTTGAATAAGGAGGATATTAGAATGATAGAGAAACCCATTTTTAGATATTTGTGGGATAAGGCCTTTGAGCCACTTAGTCGTGTAATGATGAAAAATGATATTGAGAATGGTGGATGGCAGATATGGGATGTTAAATCTCTTGACCAATCGGTTCAATTGTCTGTAGTATTTAATGTCTTAAAGAGGAAAAATCATCCTCTATATTATGTATTTAGATATGTATTGGGGCCTGTTGCCAATAGGGTTACACAAATGACTGAAAATTTTCCTTTTGTGGTTAACAATAAGAGAAAATATAAGAGATGGCAGAAGCAGGTGACTGAAATAATGAATCAAAATAGTAATAATATTTCTCGAGACCAGAAAAAATTTATAGGTATATACATAAACAATACTTTAGTGTTGGTATGGAAACAAGTACAAGAGATTGGGGAAAAACCTGGGCAAATGTAAATATGTTACCACCTGAGTGGAGAGAGACCACCTGGAGGATCATACAAAATATTGTTATGACAAAACAGTATATGAACTTATATCATGGAAGAAGGGATGATAAATGTGTTTATTGTGGAAGAGTGAAAAGTATCAAGCATGTGTTTCATGAATGTCCTAGAGCGAAGGCTGTGTGGGGATGGTTGGCAAGAATTTGGAAGACAAAAATTGAATGGAAACAAATAAAATACCACACTGATTATAAAGTTCAGGGAAAGAGTGTATATATGCTGAATTGGATGTTAGCATTGAGTAAAAGATGGATTTGGAAAGGAAGGTGTATACAAACTTATGAAAGGAGACAAATAAGAGCTACTTATATTGTAATAAAGAGTAAAGATGATGCCAGATATAAGTTACAAAGTGATATGGAAAATTTGAGTGATAATGAAAAATTGAAATATTATAGAGGAAACTGAGGGTATTATCTGGAAATATGAAGACAGGAATTATTTATTTAATGATGAATGGAGTACTTAAGTGTCGAGAAGTGATATTTGATATGATGTTTATAAATTGTGATTTATTTTAAGTTTAATATGAGTAAATTATAACTCTACTTATGTATTGGGATTGATATTTAAATGTTTAAGTTTTAAAGTTTGGTGGGAATTTAAATTAGATTTTTATGATTATTTGTAAATTGGATGTTATCTTATTGTTTATGTTTTGTAGTGAAGGTTATATTTTTTGTAAACACACAATAGCTCCGGTTAGGAGTGTTGTTATATTAGTGTGAATTTATTGTTTGTTTGATTTATTGTTTGATGTAATGGTTATACCCATTAGCCCTAATATAGGGTTGCTTTTTGGGTATTTAAATTAAATTTAGTGTTTAATTTAGTTTTTAGTATGCACCCTTAGCCCAATTACAAAGGGCAGTATTTTGATGGGGTGTCTTTTATTTTTAAGTTTAGATTTAGTTTATTGTTTGTATAAACACCCTTAGGCCCAATGACAAAGGGCAGTTAAATGGGGTGTTTTTAGTATTTAAATGTTTAGGTTAAGGTTATATTGTTTAGACCCATGGCCCATATTAAGGGAAGTTTTTAAAACATGGGTGGTTTTATTTATGTTTTTAGTTATAAATGTTTACTTATTATTAATAGGTTTACACCCAATGCCAAATTTTAAATGGCAGATTTAAATGGGTGGTAAAAATTATTTAAGGTTCTTGTGATGTTGTATTGGGGTTTAAATCTTTGGTGATTTTTTAGATTATGGTTTTTTGTGTTTTTTGTGTTGCGTCTTCATTTAATTGTGGTGTTTTTTGCCATAAATTAGATGTGTATTAAATTAAAATGTTTTATTTATTTTGGGGTTTATTGTAATTTAGTTTTAATATTAATATTACTAATAGTACTTACCTTATAAGTTATTGACTGAAATCTTTAGATGAACAGATGTAAAAAAGGGTTGAGCAGATAGGTTTTGTGCTGGAGACGCAACCTAAAATACAAAAATTTTTTAAACTTTAAAACATCATTAGTATCTGTTCTTATCAGCTTGATGATCTTCAGCTGCTAATCTTCAGGACGCCGACCGGACTTCGAGCCACCTGCTCCCCGGACTCTGGGTAAGTTGTTTTGGTTACTTTCTCTTTCCTCTCTCCTTCTCTCTTTTGCCAGAAGAGCGGCCTGCACGGTTTAAACGCATCGTGTATTCGCTACTCGACTGGCAGCACTTTTGTCTATCGCCGCCAGCCTAGGCTGGTAGCCTTTCTGATACTCCGCCTGGACACCCCGTGGTGCTCGCTTGAGAAGCCCGTGGTGCTTCATTCAGGACACCTTCTTTCTTCCTCTCCCTGCCCCTCCTTGGTTGGCTGCTCTGCACCCCAGGGGGCGCTTCACCCACTATCCCTCTCTCTCTAAATCTACACATTTGATCTACGCTGTCATGACTGAGCTTACAGTGCTAGTCCCTCTACACCCACCACATGGGTGCCAACTGTGCCTACCGATACCCCACAACTATGCAGATCACGCCGGCTTAGTTAAACATCTAAAGCACATCCATGGCACAACCCTCCAGTTCGAATGCAATGCCTGCGGGTATACTCATGATAAGCTCAAAGTGATCAAAGCCCACCAGCTGAAGGCCAACGACTGCCGTGTAAGGATAGAAGCCTGCTCGCCTCCACCCCCACTCCCGGCAGACCTTAAAAAGGTGTGCATTCCTACGAAGCCAAGAAAGCCGTACGCTCGTATAGCACCTAAAACAGCGCCGACTCCCTCTCCTAGCAGCGATGAATCCTGGAACTCGGCACCTCCGTCCCCACCAACCGAGCATGCAGCAACACAGACAAGGAGAACCACAAGGTCCCTCCAAATTGTCATCAAGGAAAATCACTCCCTGCAAGCTGAGCACACACCTAGTGCACCAGCCACTCCACCGCCTGGCATCCAAGGGCCCAGCCAAGATACAACATCTGTGCAAGTACAGCCCACGCCCAACGGTAGGAGACGTCGGCAGAGACAAAGGACTTCTGCAAGACCCCAGCCCAATGGTGAACAGCAGCTGCCGAACATGCCAACACAGGATGCTATGCAGCAGCCAACAGTGTCTACAACTCCACCAGGTAGGCCAATTACATCCACGTCCCCTTCTAATTCTTGTACACTCAGCTCCCCGTACCGGAGAAACGTCACTCCAAGCCCAGCCTCTCCAGCGCCCTCGCCTACACAACATCAAGGAGAACCTACAGGAGAACTCCACCAGGACCCGCTGTCTACGCAACCACAACAGGCCCCAGACGCACCTACACCAGACGACGGACCCCCCAGTGGGTTACGGCGTGGGCATCACAATTTGAGGCAGCACAAGACGAGGACATGTTGGAGGGTATCCTTGCTGACTTCATCCAATTGGCCTACGAAATCAGCGACATCCAAGGCCCGTGGCAGTCCAACAGGAACACTGCCAATAACACATCGACCCGTCAAATAGAGGCAAGTGAACTGCAACGCCTCTATCAAACTAACCGAAAACATGCTTTTGATCACATTATAGGTGGAAGCTCACGGTTTTGTCAAGTCGAAATGACCAAAGTGCAACAGCACTTTAAATCAATCAATGAATGCAACCCGCAAGTGAACACCACACCTGTTCCTGCAACACAAGACCAGCGAGTAACCCGCTCAACATCCCCTTTACACCGGAAGAGGTAGCCACCCGTATTGCTGAAGGTCACAACACCGCACCAGGCCCGGATAAGATCAGATATCATCATTGGTGGTGCATCAACCCCAACGGTATCATCCTGGCGGCGATATTCAACACCGTACTCAGGATCGGCTACATCCCAGTGAGCTGGAGGGAGTCAACCACGGTACTGATTTTCAAGAAAGGTGACTGCACGGACCTCCACAATTGAAGACCTATTTGCTTATCGAACACTCTAGGTAAGCTTTATACAACCTGCCTAGCAGATAGACTGCTGAAGTGGTGCCACAACAACGACCGCATCTCCACATCCCAAAAGGGATTTCTCCATTACCAGGGATGTGTTGAGCATAACTTCCTCCTGAAAACAGTAATTCAGGATGCCAGGTGTACCAGGAAGGAATGCCACATTGCCTGGTTGGACATCGTGAACGCTTTTGGCAGCGTTCCCCACTGTGTCATTTGGGAATCTCTCAAATGACACTTTCTCCACCCAGATGCAATCTCCACTCTACAACGGCTATACGAAGGTGCCACCACTAGGGTCCGCACCTCCATGGGACACACAGAACCCATCGCCATGCTGTCAGGGGTAAGGCAGGGCTGTCCTATCAGCCCCCTGCTCTTTATCCTCACCATGGAGCCAGCCCTAAGACACATCCAAACACTCGACAAAGGGTACTACATCCACGGACAGTCGGTAAGTGCACTAGCCTACGCTGATGACATCGCACTTGTCAGCAACAGTGCTGAGAAAGATAAGGGCCTCACACAGAGGTATAGCCCATGTTCAGACTAGAAAAGGAGGAAGAGTTGAGAGTGTAAGAAGGGGTAAGAGTAAGGAGAAGTAAAGTGAGATAGGATAGAGGGAAAAAGTAGCCAGGGTCATGGGACCCGTGGGCGCCTGCATCGCATTTATTAAATAATAACACAGTACAAAATAACAATAGGATTATTACAGAATTACATACATAGAAATATAATTACAAGATTGGTAGGCGCGACAATAGTAATTTGGAGTATACAAAAATACACGTGGGACAGAGACATATATTATTTACACAGTATAAAGAGGTTAACAGTAGGAGTTGACCGACAATGTCAGATGTAATCGCGGGTTACAAAACAGCTGAAAAAGTAAGGACAATAGACACAGAGAATACAATAAGTGGAGACAAGTAGACACAAAAGCGTACCTATAAAAGGTAGCTAAGTCCAATTAAGCTGATACCAAAAGATGCAAGATGATAAACACAGTTCCATAGGTAGTTGAAAATCCATCACCAACTATAGGGAAGAAACAATCTAGTAGAGCTTCTTGATATCAGCTGCAAATTTCTTCAGGGCCTTGAAATTGTTCTTATCAATAGTGAAGTCTTTGAGAGTGCAAGGCCAGTTGAACCCATTTGCCTGAACAGTCTCTGCCAGTTTCTTACGATGAGTAATGTGGAAAGGGCAGTGGAAGATAACGTGCACAGGCTCTTCCTCTTCCTTCAGGTCGCAGTTACACTGACCGTCAGTCTTATTGAGAAACCTCTTGAGGTAGGAGTTTAAATTCCCGTGACCTGTAAGGAGTTGAGTAAGCTGGAAGGTGGTGTAGCGTGGGTCGTGCATACTGTCGGTGGGAGATGGGAAAAAGCTATGGGTGAGCCTTCCCGTGTCCCCATTATCCCAGCGGGACTGCCAGAGCTTGAGGATAATCTTGTGTATCTCATTCCTGACGTAGTTTTTGCTGATGCCAGTGTAAGAAGTGGTGGAGGCCAAAGTACGTGCTTTCCGAGCAAGAAGATCAGCCCGCTCGTTCCCCGTGATCCCTGAATGACCCTTGATCCAATGAAAGTCCACCCTGATGTTAAGAGCCGTAAGTTCTTGAAGCTTGCGGATGCTGTCATTAACAATGGGGAGGGTGGAGTTAAGTTTAATGATCTGTTGGATTGCTATCCTGCTGTCACTAAATATTCCGTAGCTGTGATTCTTCCAGTTGTGTTGATTAGATAGAATCCAATCTATGGCAAGGTAGATGGCAAGAGACTCCGCCTGATTGTTGGTACAGTGCGGAGCTAATTTCCTGCATGCCTGATATAGGCACTGCTGGTCCTTGTAGATTACGACCGCACAGCCCACCCCCTCAGGAGCCTTGGACCCGTCAGTATAAATATGGATGTTGTGGTTCTCATTGTAGCTGTTGTCGAGGCTGTAAGATGGGACAAAACTGGGGTGGATGGGGTAGTAGTCATAATGCTTGTCAAAACCATTGGAGATGAGAAGCTCCGCAAGAGAATTGATATCCTCACAGTGCTTCTCTTTTGCTATTATGTTGTTAAAATGCTCAAGGCTGGTCTCTTTCTTGGCCACTTTGTCGAGATTATATTTTAAGAAAATTTCTTTGACCTTTAGGTCAATGGGCAAAGTCCGGTTAATTACAAGAAGGGCCTCAGTGGGGGCTGTCTTGTATGCTTTGGCAGCATTGATACCTAACAGCCTTTGGATTGACAGGAGCTTCCTACGAATATGTACTCTGGTGGCCGCTGAGCCCCAAATTTCTGCTCCGTATGTGATGATAGGCTCAATTGCCGCTATATAGAGAGTCCTGCTTGTCAAAGGGCCATAACCCCACCGGTTCCTGCAAATAGTTTTTAGGGCCTGGGCAGTTTTCGTTGCTTTCTCATAGACATAGTGAACATGGTCTGTCCAGTTCAGTTTCTGGTCCATAACTATGCCCAAATATTTAACAGCCGTGTGATTCTTTATCTTGATGTTGTTGATCTTAATGCTAGGACCTTTCTTAAGGATGTTCCCTTTCGGGAAAACAATCACTTCACATTTCTTATAATTAATTATTAGCTTAGTTTTTTCACACCAGTTAGATATGAGCTTCAGTGTATTGTTTATCCTTTCCTGGAGGACTTCATTGTTCACATGGCTGAGCAATAGAACCGTATCATCAGCATACCCCTGTATGTGAGCCTCGTATTCCTTGGGGATGCTGTTTTGGAGTTTTAGTAAGTCGTTATAAATAACATTCCAGAGATATGGTCCAGATTTTGATCCCTGGGGGCAGCCTCTGTAAATATTCTGTTGAAGGTAGGTGTTATTACCAGTATCCACCTGGATACTGCGGTCCTGTAAATAACTGTTAGTTAACCTATATAAGTTGCCAGGGCACTTGTTGTTCTTGAGGTTGGTAAGAATGGCCGGCCACCATGCGTGATCAAATGCCCCTTTAAAGTCTATTGTAACCATGAGGCTGTGTTTGCCTTCTTCACGGGCCTTTGTAATCCGGGTCTTTAGGTTGTCAATGGCTGCGATGGTGTTTTTGCATTTCCTGAAACCATACTGCTTCTTGTCCATTATACCATTATTTTCATAGTGATAAATGATCCTGTTTATTAGAAGAGCATCTAGGACCTTACCAATTACGGACAAAAGAGAGATCGGTCTAAAGTCCGAGGCAGTAGTGGGAATAAGGTCTTTGTTTTTCGGGATCAACTTGACTGTGGCCTGTTTCCAGGCAGCAGGAAAGTAATTAATATGTAGGCACCTGTTCAACAAAATACAGAAGGTGGTGGGGATTGCTTGAAAGGCAATCTTGGCCATTTTAGCGGTGATCTTATCTGGGCCTGGAGCTTTTTTCAACTTCAATTTATGAAATTCTTTAGCAATTTCCAGGGAGGTAAACGGGATGTCGTTGGTTTCATTATAGCTGTTTAGAAGGCTCTCCCTTATCTCTTTGTGGTAGTGCTTGTCAGTAGAAATAGAGTCAGAAGGAAAAAGCTCATTGATTATGTGCTGGTAGGTCTCAGTGATAGACTGGGTGTAGTCAGTGTTGTTGATCTGAATGGATGGAGGGACTTCAAGCCTTTTCCCTTTCTTCGCAGCCACATAAAAGGGAGTGGACCAAGGGTTGTCATTACCCACAGTTGTGCAGAACTGTCTCCAGACCTGCGACCTAGCCTTGTTAATAGATGTCTTGTACTCCCTGAGAAGGGTTGTGTACCTCATACGTAACTCTTGTTTTCTGCCTGGGTCTGTTTCCTTTCGCAACTTCTTTTTAGTTTTCCTGAGGGTATTCCGTTGGTTGTTAAGGTCCATGTTCCACCACGGGGCGGAACGCTTGACAGTCTTAACTACCGTAGCTTGGTGGTAAGCTTTGTGAATGGTGTTAGTTAAACTGTTCACAACACTGTCGACTTCAGAAGGTAGAGTAATGTGAGCGATGTCACTGGGATTCCAGTTAAGTTGAACAAGTTGGAAGTAGAGGTCCCAGTTGGTGCTTTGTGTTATGCAGAATTTCGGTATTGGAGTAGACTGATCAATTATTGTCTCAATGAAGCTATGATCACTGGTGGAGTGGATACTAAGGGTATTACATCTGGAGAGCTTGTTGGTAAGTTTTCTTGAGCCCATACAGATGTCGATCCAACTTTTTCCATTCGTAGAGGAGAAAGTCGGGAGAGGACTAGTGTTGAGGGAGGCTAGATGGTGTTGCGCCATAAACTCCTTGACCAGATACCCTCTCGGGTCCTCCACAGGGCTGTGCCAAGTATGAGACTTGGCATTGAAGTCGCCACATATTAGAATCGGGTGGTCCTGAAGCTGTTGAATTGAAGTGGCTAAGAGATCCAGAGGATAAGCTAAGTCTTCTGAGGGAGAACAGTAGAATGACACAAGAATGTAGGTAGAGTTATCTAAGGTAAGGCTGACGGTGGTAAAGTAATAGTTGCTGTGTTGAGTAAGGAGTTGGACGTCAAGTTTATCATTTATGATCACAAATCCAGTCTTGGGAGGATTGTTGGGTTCTTGATAATAAATTGTCCGTGAGCTACCAAACATTGCAATTTTATTCTGGAAGGTATATGGCTCCTGGATGGCCATGATGTCAGTTTTCCTGTTGGTGGCTTGTTGAAAAGAGTCAGTAGTGGCTGCCTTACATTTCTGAAGGTTTATCTGGATTAACCTCAAATTGTTTTCTTTCTGGTTATACCCCATAATTGGTTTGGCGTATTGTTTGAGCCTTCATTCTTTCTGTGATTGGGCACTGTGGGTTAAAAGCATTATGACAGGTGTCATGTCTACTATATTCCGGGAGGTCCTTGTTTAGGGTTTTGCAGTTGATGCAGCAAGGATCGTCGTCCAGTTTCCGGCATTCTCTAAACCTGTGTGCCTTTCCACAATGGCTACACCTTTGCTTGTTTGGACAGGTTGTGGATAAGTGGTTATAACCACAACACTGATAACAACGGACCAATGGGATGTAGTCATTTACATAGATCTTGGCCCACTGGATGGCTATGTGTTTCGTTTTGACGAGCAGATTTCTAAGGTTAGGCGTTGTTGAAATTACAATATGCCTGCAGTTTTCTTTGTTATTATTACGAAAGAGAACAGTGCTGATTTTAGTGGAACTAGAAAATTCATCCATGGTCATGTTTTGTACGATCTCATTCTGTTCATACATCATTGGGATAATCTCCTCTTCACTTACTGCTATGGGGACATTGGTAAGAATCACACGAGGTCTCCTACCTTCTGAAATTTTGCTCTGGACTTTTTTGGCTATGTCAGGGTGGTCATTGATTGCGTCTGACAGAGTTTCAGCCTCTTTGTAGCTGTCAGTGCGGAAGCATATGCCATCTCCTCGCACTTGTCTAACCGATTTGACCTTTATTTTAAGTTCATGTGGTTTTATCCTCTTTTTTATTTCGCTTTCTATTCGTTTCATGTCGGTGGATTGGCCATCATCTTCAGATTTAGGATAGAGTAAGACAGCAAAACTGCCACCTGTGCCTTCACTATTTATCTTGCTTTTTAAAGATTTAGTTATTGCCAAAGTTGTGGAGCTAGGCTTAGTGTTCAACTTTGTGACTTCAGCGTAGGAAGCTGATGGGGTAGGAGCAGTAGTAGGAAACGGAGCAGGGTGCAGGGAACGATTGGATCTTACTTCTTTTAGGATCCCATGAAATTGGCCGATGCACGAGTAAAGCCAGAGTGCCGCACTTGGCCAGAGTGCCAAGTGCGGCACTCTGGCAGTTATAGGAAAACTGCACACCGCTGGGACCAACAGCTAAACCCTCCACAACAAAGAACTTCCATGTCTAGGCAATGATGATGCCTATAAACACCTTGGGGTTCCAACAGGGTTTGCAAAATGTGATTCTGAAGCGGCCACCATGGAAGGTGTAATACGTGACATAAACAAACTAGACGCCTCATATTTGGCACCGTGGCAAAATATTGACGCCTTGAACTCATTCATCATGCCACGGCTGACCTTTTGCCTAACCATGGGGACTGCTCCAAAGAAGGTACTAGATAAGATCGATAGGACACTAAAGCACCATGTGAAGAGATGGCTTGGCATACCACAGCGTGCGAGTGCGGAGATCGTCTACCTGTCTTACAAGCAGGGAGGGGCCAATGTCACGCCGGCCAGTTCACTCGCAGATATAGCCCAGGTATGTCATGCTTTATATCTCTAATTCCAGAGACAACATCACGAACATAGCGCTAGGAGCACTTAGGGATGTGGTAGCCGCCAGAATTGCCAAACAACCCAGTGACGAAGAACTATGTCATTATCTAGATGGGTCGATGGAGGGGGACCTAGGTAACCCATCCAAAGACATTACGTCTATGTGGACTCGACTTCAGATGGCCACCAGAAGACTGGGTAAGAAAATCGGCATCAAGTGGGCCATAGGACCGGATGGCACACCAACAATCACACTAGAATACAACATTATCCGTACCAAAAAATGCCAAAGCACGCTAGTCAGCCTCCTTAAACACCACCACCTCCAAAGACTGCTAGCAAAGCCCGATCAAGGTAAGGCCTACAAGGTAATGGCCAGTAACGAGGCGAGTAATCACTTCCTCAACAATGGCCGTTACACACGCTTTTCAGATTGGCGGTTTATCCACCGGGCTAGATTGAGTGTTGTGGCTTTACGTGGGTACAAGAGATTCGGCAACGAATCAAAAACTTGTCAACGCTGCGGCTTTGCCCGTGAGACCCTCTTTCACATCTTATGTCACTGCCCTCCGAACTTTAGATTAATCACCCAACGACACAACGCAATACTAAATAGACTAGTGGCAGCATTTCAACCAAGAGGAGCCACAGTCTTTGTCAATCAGCGGGTGCCAGGGTATGCAGAAAACTGCCGCCCAGACCTTACCATCATCCACGAGGAATCCAGAACAGCAACAGTCATCAACGTTACAACGCCGTTTGAAAACGGGCGCCCAGCCTTCGACGCCGCGAGGGACAAAAAGGAGAGGAAATACAACGGCCTCGTCCAGCATCTCCGCGCCAGTACTTTCATCGTAGGGGCATTAGGCAACTAAGACCCCCTCAATGAGTCAGTATTACAACGCCTGAAAATCAACCACCAGTACTCCGTCATGATGAGAAAACTGATGGTAAGTGACTCAATCCGATAAAGTAATGATATTTACCGCCAACATCTGGGAGATTGCTCCAGACACCCAGCCCAACCACGGCAAGACAACGAGCCACGCATCCACCCATCACAACCCCAACCTCCACCAGGGGAAAACATATAACTTCTGTCAACTCGCGATACATTGTATATATTAGCTGGCATAAAGCCCATGTAAACAAATTTTTAACACTGTATATACTGGCTGGCATATTTGAGCCCATGGACACTGTAATCTATATATATCTTAATTGTATTAACATCTCTGGTTGGCAAACAAAATGCCCATGTCGCGATAACATACTATACCTTATTATATGTCTGGTTGTGGTTGGCATTCTAAACGCCCATGTCGCAAAAACTACTTTATAACTATCTTGTCTGCATTAATTGCACTTTTTTGCCTTAGTAACGCCTGTAAATACTTAAAATTTTTTTGATTTTATAATAAAGGCTTTTTAAATCTGTTCTTATCAGCTTGATATCTGATACGGTTTCCATCGGAGACCTTCGATATTAATAGCTGTGGACATTGACGTTAGAGATCGGTATATTAGAATTATAAATATTTACACGCCAACTCAGGTTTATGAGAGATAGGAATTTTTTAGAGTTTTAATTGATTTTTTAAGGGTGGGAAAGGAACTAATGATAATGAGAGATTTTAATTGCATTTTGGATAGTTTAGACAAAAATGAGCCAATACTTTATGATGGTTCTAGGAATATTTTAAGGGGAATTATTGATGATTTTAACTTATATGATATTTTTAGGGAGTTTTATCCGTGTCATCCGGATTTTACATGGGAGGGACGTGGGATCATGGAGAGACTGGATAGAATTTATGTATCTAGGAGTTTAAATCAGGTTGAGGGAGTTAGTTGTTATTCACTACAAACAGAAACAAGAAAGCTAACAGATCATAAAATGGTGGAAGTAAATATTAGAATAGGTGGAAAAAAGAGAAGAGAAAAAAGGATAAAATTAACGAAGGAAATATTGGAAGATGAAAATTTGATTAATAAAATACAAGAGCTAATAGAAAATAATAAAGATATAATTGAATGGGAGAAATGGGAATAGTTAAAAAGACAGATTTATATAGAAATAGAAAAAATATGGGATAAAAATAAAAAAGAAAGTTTTATAAGGGTTAAGAAATTACAGAGAGATTTAACAGATGTCATTATAAAAGGAAATGAGACGGAAATACAAAGGATTGAGAGAGAAATTACAAAAGAAATAGATAAAAAGAATAAGGAAAACTATATCTGCTATAAATTAAATAAATATAATATTAAAAGGGAAGCAGAAAGGGCAGTGTTTGAAAAGAAAGGAAAAATGAGAGAAAACATAGTGATAGATAAAATAAAAGATGAATTTGGAAATGAAATAAAGGAAACAAACGAAATACTGGAAAAATTTTACTCATATTATACTTACTTATTTGACATACAACAGTCGGATGAGTCCTTGGAGGAGCAGATATTAAGTAAAATAATACCTATAAAAGAAAAGAATAATGATATTACAAGTAAAGAGATTACAAAAAATGAAATTAAGGATGCTATCCAATCTCTCCATGTTAACAAAGCACCGGGAAGGGATTATATAAATTAGGAATTTTATAGATTTTTTAATGATAGTTTAACTGATATTTTATACAATTTATACAATTTTACTGATTTTAGCGACACTTTTTGTCTGGGGAATATGATTTTAATTAAGAAAAATGATGACACAAATAAGGGGATAACAGATTTTAGACCGATTACTCTTTTAAATATAGATTACAAGATTTACAGTTTAATTATTGCAAATAGACTTGAGTTGGCTTTTAAACATTTTATTGGTAGTACTCAGAGTGCCGGTGTTCAAGGAAGGAGTATACAGAATAATATAACGTTTTTGAAATTAATCCAAGAGTATTATAAAAAGAGAGATGTTGAACTCTCACTCCTCTCTATTGATGTAAAGAGGGCCTTTGATACTATAAATCGTCATGTTCTTTGGAAAATTCTGGATCATTATGGTTTAAATACAACTGAAATAGAGTTATTAAGAAATTGTACCATTTCCCAAGTACATGTATTCAGATAAATAGTGATACATCAGAGGAAATAGATTGTAAAATAGGCGTTTGCCAAGGGTGCCCAAGTTCGATGATTTTGTTTACGGTGTATATTGAAACATTGTTAAGGACTATAGAAAGTGAAAATTTAATAGAACCAATATATATCCCGGGAATGAAAGATAATATAAAATATGTAACTCATGCAGATGATATCACTTTTTTGGTAGTTAATAGACCTAGTTTAAATGGTATTTTGTATAAACTACAACAGTTGTGTGAATATACAGAAATGAAAATTAACAAAAACAAATGTAAAATAATAGATGTTGTAGGAAATATTGGAAAAAATCAAAATGAAATTGAGTATTGTGATATGATAAAAGTGCTTGGGATATGGTATGGAAAAAATGTGGATAAAAAGAATTTAGAGAAAATGCAAACTAAAATTAAAAATGAAATTACACAGTGGTCAGAGAACTGGCTGTATATGCCTAAACGTGTTCAAGTAATAAATAGGGTGATTATACCTAAAAGCATCTATAAGCTTTATATTACAAATTTAGAACATGATGATATCAAACAGATTGAAAGGAAGATTTATACTTACTTGTGGAATGGTACTTTCGAGCCAATGAGCAGAAAGATAATGCGTAACGACATCACTGAGGGAGGATGGGGAGTAATAGATCTGAAAGATTTTGAGAGATCATTACAAATGAGTACTATAATAAAACATTTTAAGAGAAAGTAATCATCCGCTATTTTATTTAATTCGTTATATTATGGGACCGATCTCCAACCAAATAAATCAGCAGGCAACAAGTTTTCCTTTTATGATGAGTAATAAAAAAAAAAATATAAAAAATGGAAATTTTGCAGGATTTAATACATAATTATGGCAATGTGTTGGATTTTGAAAGAAGAATTAGACCCAGGCAAATTTATAATTTGATTCATAAGCAACATATGAGTATTAACATGTTAAATAGTAATATGGACTGGCCCAAAATTTGGAAAAACATATTTAGCATGCCTGCTGAGTGGATAGAAATTTAATGGAGAATCTTGTCTAATATTGTAATGTGTAAAAAATATTTAAGGTTATATAATAGAGTAAGAGATGAAAAATGTACAAGATGTCGGTGTGTGGAGTCAGTGATACACATTTTCTATGAATGCAACATCGCGGTATCAGCCTGGTCATGGGTGTCTAGAGTCTGGAATACGAATATTAGTTGGGAAAATGCTAAGTATCAGAGTAATCTAATTGTTAGGAATCAAAATATATATTCGTTGAACTGTTGTATAGGATTGGTGAAAAGATTGTTATGGAAATGTAGGTGTTTACTTACCTTTGAGAGAAGATGTTGGAATGCGTCGTTATTAGTAATTAAAATTAAACAAGAACTCGGGTATAAAATTCAAAGTAATTATGATAAAATGTCTAAACAGCAATTTGATACGTTTTACAGAGGCAATAATGTGATATGGAAAATTCAGGATGATGAAATAAGATTCAACGATGAGTGGCGATGATTTTATTTTTAAAGTGTTTAATTAACTATTGTCGTGTTCTAATTAACTTTTGATCTTCTATTTTTAAATTTTACTTACCGTTTATTGGTATTTTTCATTCAATGTGTTAAGTTCTACTTTATATTGTTATACCTGAAAGAGAAAAATTTAAGATTATAAATTTTTATACTTTTAGGATGTTTTTTGTTAAATGTTATATATCACGTAACTTTATTTTTTGCATTTAATATATTAATTGTCGCTTTTACCTGTGTTTTAATGGGATTTATGTAAGTTTTCCCTGTTTGAAAAGGGTGTTTGTATTATGCTACACTGTTTTGATGTATTTTTTATTATTGTTGGGTTTTGGTTTTTTGTATGTTTTGATTAACTTATTTTTATTGTCGGGTCATGTTTTTTGTAAATTAACCTTTCCTATGGTGTTGGTGTTTTCTTGGGAGGTTTGCACGTTGTCCACAGTGTTTAACGTGTGTCTTACCTTTTCTTCAGAATGCGGGCTTATAACATGCTGATTTGGCATCTAAAGTGAAGGAAATGTATCAGTTCATGGTTTAGTGGTTCCCCAAACTTTGAAAACACAGTATCTGTTCTTATCTCTCCGGTACTGGTGAGCTTTTGAGAGTAGTCATTGTTTTCCATTTCTGGACTTATTTGTGGTTAAATTGGATTAATTTTTGGATAATCATCGACCGGAAGAGTTTCTAATTAATGTTTCCTCAGAAATTCGTAAAAAATTTAAAATTATTTTTCGACTTATAGGAAAAAAGTGAACTTAGAGTGTTAGCACTATCATCTCAGTCTTGACTGATATGGCATAACTGTGAGTAATTATGGTGATAATAATCTATAATAGAATGACCATAGAGAAGATATAAATAAATTATAGCAGTTATAGTGTTAAAAATTTGACTTTATTGAACTTTTTTCGTACCACTCACCTGAACGACTCCCGTGGGGGTGTTTCCCTGTGCGTCTGTTCTCTTCGTTTGTTAATAGTGCCTTTGTTAGGCAAGTAATTGATGGATGGAAAGTTCCATTCCATCAACGAGCCGTATTTTAGATGCTCGGGTTTCCCTGGATAGAATAAATGTGGATGTTTCTGTCCAGAGTGATGATTCTCGAGAAGCAATGTCTCATGTTACGGATGTAATGGAGAAAGTTGACGATGTAGAAGAAATATTTAAAAGAGAGAATGTGGTAACAATGGATGAACAACAGGAAAGAATCAAGAGATATACGACGGTTCGTTCGGTGCGGATAATAGCGAAGAAACGTGTGGAGATACAGGAGTTGGT